GTAAAGTAGCTGATTGGAATAATATTTATACATAGTTGTATGTTACAGTAGGTGTTTGTGTTCATGTCCCAATCAATACTTTAAAGTGAATCTTTGAGTCAAGGAATATCTAGTGAAATTTTAGTAACTTTCATTTGCAATGTTAAATTTTTCTTAGCTTAAGTAAGAAATTTCACTACAAAAGATATGGACTACACTATGTTTTTTTCCTAAATAAAAGTCTTAGACTAATAAATAATTACATATCATTAAGATGTTTTATAAGTATGTTATAGGACTAAGCAGGGGGAAAAGGAGGAAGAAATAGTTTTTAAAGGGTTAGTAACAAAAGCTGGTGACAATAGCAGAGTAAGGACAATCAAGTCAAAACTGAGTCAATTCCACATTAATAAAAATTTTTGCTAATTCTAAATAAAAGGGTTATCAAAAGAAATTGCCTTTTTAAATAATCTGACTGTATCTTATTAGCTATTCTTGTATCAATTTTAGTTGCTTTTAATAAAAATAATTATTTGATAACATTTAGGAGTTAAAGCCCTCTGTTAAAGAAAAACATTAGTAGAAAATCAGATTAAATACTATAGTAAGTTTGTAGCCCCAGCTGTACAAGATAAGGTAAAAAAAGATTATTAGCACATCTCTGCAGAATTAGCTGAGAGGTACACCAGTTAGTAGAAAAAGGAATAAACTCCTCTGTTTTGCAAATCACTAACGTGTACCTTAGAAATGGCAAAAATATTTTAATGGGGAATACTTATAGGAAAACAAGATGGTTTCTTAGCTGGTGGGAAGATAGAATCCTATCCTCAGGTCAGTGTAAATTTCCAGTTTTTTTTTTTTTTTTTTTATTTTTTTTATTTGAGACGGAGTCTTGCTCTGTCACCCAGGCTGGAGTACAATGGCACAATTTCAGCTCGCTGCAACCTTCACCTCCCAGGTTCAAGCAATTCTTCCTGCCTCAGCCTCCCAAGTAACTGGGATTACAGGCACCCGCCACTGCATCTGCCTAATTTCATTTTGTATATTTACTAGATACCAGGTTTTACCAGATACTCAAGAGTAGTCCCAGATGCTCGAGAGGCTGAAGCAGGTGGGTCACTTGAGCCCAGGAGTTTGAGAGCTGTCATCACACCACTGCACTTGCTACACCTGCCTAATTTTTTTTTGTATATTTAGCAGAGACCAGGTTTTGTCAGCTACTCGAGAGTATAGTTCCAGATACTCCAGAGACTGAAGCAGGAGGGTCACTTGAGCCCAGGAGTTTGAGACTACAGTGAGCTATAATCACACCACTGAACTCCAGCCTGGGCAACACAGTGAGACCCGCAAACAAACAAAAAACAGCTGAACTCTTGCTAAAAAAAAAAATAAAAAAAAAACTCCTGAGCTAAAAAAGAAAAAAATTTTTAATTATCTAAAAGAAATAAAATCTATGAGATATGGCCAAAATAAAAATGTTATACTTTTAAATACTTCCATTAAGAAAAGAATTCATAAATACAACCGGGTACCCAATTTAAGATGAAAAAATAACAACAAATTGCTCGCATAAGCAAGTAGATGAAATATATTAAGAAAAGGAAAAAATTACGATGAAACAAAAATAAAGCAAGAGCTGATTTTCAGGAAAGCTAAAACAATAGAAAAACAATGTCTAGACAAGGGGGAAGAGAAAGAATATTTTTTTAAAAATCATAAATCCTATAATTTAGAAGGTTTATATGTATATAATAAAATACTACTGGCATGGGATTTTTAAAAAAGGAAACAAAGTGGTGTTCAAAATGAGATATATGAACACATATATACACAAACACGAGAACTTAGGTTATGACCCAGGTGGTGGCATTTTATATCAGCAGGGATAATTAGAGATATAAGAAGTACTTGTCAGGCACAGTGGCTCACACCTGTAATCCCAGCAACCTTGGGAGGCCGAGGTGGGTGCATCACCTGAGGTCAGGAGTTCAAAACCAGCCTTTCTAACATGGTGAAACCCCACCTCTACTGAAAATACAAAATTAGCCAGGTGTGGTGGTGCATGCCTGTAATCCCAACTACTTGGGACACTGAGGCAGGAGAATCGCTGGAACCTGGGAGACGGAAGTCACAGGGAGCCTAGATCTTGCCACTGCACTCCAGCCTGGGCAACAAGAGCGAAACTCCGTCTCAAAAAAAAAAAGAAGTCCTGCCTCATACCACATATTAAAACAAACTCCAACATGATTACAAATACTTTAAAGACAAAACAAAGGCATGAAGAAAAAGTTATAAAAGGAGCCATAAACAGAAATTCTCCTTACACCTGATTAAATAAAAAATTTTAATTTCTGTATGATAAAGAATAACATAAACAGTTAAAAGACAAACAATAGGTTCTGGAAAAAAAAACCTCTAACACATTTAAAGTGCAAAGGACTATTATTCATACTCAAATATTGATAACAAATCCAAAATATATAAATAACAATAGAAAAATGGGCAAAGTATATTAACAAACGTATCATAGAATAAAATATGGCCAATGAATATACAAAAAAGTTCTACCTGAAAATAGATTATATGGGATTATCAGTATGTATATCTACACGTTTTTGGCCTATTATGTTGGGAGGGAAAACAGAAGCTGATAATGCCAGTGTCAGCAGCAGTTACAGGAAATGGGCATTCTCTTTTGCTGCCGGTGTGAGAATAAATTGATATAGCCTTCTAGAAAGTGTCTAGCAAGGATTTCAAATGTCCATACACAATTTGAGCAACAAAATAAATAATGAATAGTAACAAATTGAAACCCATAGAATAAAAGAAATATCCATGACTCTCCAATGATATAAATAAATATAAATACTTGAATAAATAAATGAAAGAACAAGTAAAGCTCTTCTTCTTTCTTTCTTTCTCTTTCTTTTTTTTTTTTATTGTACGTTAGGTTCTGGGGTATATGTGCAGATCATGTAGGATTGTTGCATAGGTACACACCTGGCAATGTGGTTTGCTGCTTTCATCCCCCCGTCACCTGCATCTGGCATTTCTCCCCATGTTATCCCTCCCTGAAATCCCCACCCCACCCCCCACTGTCCCTCCCTTGGTCCCCCCAACAGACTCCAGTGTGTGATGCTCCCCTCCCTGTGTCCATGTGTTCTCATTGTTCAACCCCGCCTATGAGTGAGAACATAAGGTATTTGATTTTCTGTTCTTTGGTCAGTTGACTGAGAATGATGGTTTTCAGATTTGTCCATGTCCCTACAGAGGACACAAACTCATCAATTTTTATGACTGCATAGTATTCCATGTTGTATATGTGCCACATTTTCTTTGTCTAGTCTATCTCTGATGGGCATTTGGGTTGGCTCCAGGTCTTTGCTATTGTAAACAGTGCCATTGTGAACGTATGTGTGCATGTGTCTTTATAATAGAATGATTTATAATCCTTTGGGTATATATCCAGTAATGGGATTGCTGGGTCAAATGGAATTTCTATTTCTAGGTCCTTGAGGGAGTGCCACACTGTCCTCCACAATGGTTGAACTAATTTACACTATAAATTAGTTCAGTGTAAAAGTGTTCCTATTTCTCCACATCCTCTCCAGCCTCTGTTGTCTACAAATTTTGTAATGATCACTATTGTAACTTGCGTGAGATGGTATCTCAATGTGGTTTTGATTTGCATTTCTCTAAAAATCAGTGATGATGAGCAGTTTTTCATATGTTTGTTGCCCTCATATTTGTCTTCTTTTGAAAAGTATCTGTTCATATCCTCCTCCTACTTTTGGATGGGTTTGTTTGTTTTTTCTTGTAAATCTGTTTTAGTTCTTTGTAGATTCTAGATATTAGCCCTTTATTTGATGGGTAGCTTGCAAAATTTTTTTCCCATTCTGTTGGTTGCTGGTTCACTCTACTGATTGTTTCTTTGCTGTACAGAAGCTCTGGGGTTTAATTAGGTCCCATTTGTCTATTTTGGCTTTTGTTGCCAGTGCTTTGGCTCTTTTAGTCATGAAGTCCTTGCCTACGCCTATGTTCTGAATGGTTTTGCCTAGATTTTCTTCTAGGATTTTTATGGTGTTAGGTCTTATGTTTAAGCCCTTAATCCCTCTGTAGTTAATTTTAGTGTAAGGTGTCAGGAAGGGGTCCAGTTTCTGCCATCTGCACACTGCTAGCCAGTTTTTCCAGCACCATTTATTAAACAGGGAATCCTTTCCCCATTGCTGGTTTTTGTCAGGTTTGTCAAAGATCAGATGGTTGTAGATGTGTGGCGTTGCCTCCAAGGCCTCTGTTCTGTTCCATTGGTCTATATCTCTGTTTTGGTACCAGTACCATGCTGTTTTGATTACTGTAGCTTTGTAGTATAGTTTGAAATCAGGTAGCGTGATGCCTCTGGCTTTGTTCTTTTTGTTTAGGATTGTCTTGGCTATGCAGGCTCTCACTTGGTTCCATATGAAGTTTAAGGTGGTTTTTTCCAGTTCTGTGAAGAAGGTAATTGGTAGCTTGAGGGGGATAGCGTTGAATCCTTAGATTACTTTGGGCAGTATGGCCATTTTCACAATATTGATTCTTCCTAACCATAAGCATGGAATGTTTTTCCATTTGTTTGTGTCCTCTGTTATTTCCTTGAGCAGTGGTTTGTAGTTCTCCTTGAAGAGGTCCTTTACATCCTTTATTAGTTGTATTCCTAGGTATTTTATTCTCTTGGTAGCAATTGTGAATGGGAGTTTGCTCATGATTTGGCTCTCAGTTGGTCTGTTATTGGTGTATAGAAATGCTTGTGATTTCTGCACATTGATTTTGTATCCTGAGACTTTGCTGAACTTGCTTATCAGTTTAAGGAGATTTTTGGCTGAGATGATAAAGTCTTCTAAATACACAATCATGTTGTCTGCAAATAGAGACAATTTGACTTCCTCTTTTCCTAATTGAATACCCTTTATTTATTTTTTTCTTGCCTAATTGCTCTGGGTAGAACTTCCAATACTATATTGAATAGGAGTGGTGAGAGAGGGCAT